CTGACACCAACCAAGAGCATAGAAAAAGTCAAAGGAATAGTGTAAGATCGGAAGATGTGGGGAGACTCGGTCCACAGAATCTTCAAGAGTCGGACTTTGGATAACATTTGAATGATGATGGAATAACATCATCATCATCACCTCAGTGGAAAGCGCTCATTAATAGTGAAGCTAAAGCTCAGATACTTTGGACATAAAATGCGACAGCGAGAGTTATTGGAGAAGACCTTCATGTCTGGAAAAACAGAAGGCAATTGAAAATGAAGTTGTGAGATGGCAGGATGGCTGGAGACACTGAACATAAGGGGTTTTTTTTATTAATGGTTCAATCATGTCTGATTCTTGGAGACTGCCTGGACAAGATCCTGCAGTTTTCTTGGCAAGGTTTTTCAGAATAATTTGCCATTGCCTCTTTCCTAGGGCTGAGAGATTGACTGGCCCAAGGTTATTCAGCTGCTTTGTGTGTAAGGCGGGACTAGAACTCATGTCCTCCTGATTTCTAGGCGGGTGCCTTAATCACTCGTAATCCTTAACTTACAACCACAATTGGGACCAGATTTCCAGTTGTAAATTGTTAACAGTTTTAAGTCAAGGCGCTACATAACTAGACCTGATTTTAAGTGAATCATCACAGTCATTAACTGAATCATCAGTTCTTAAGCAATCACATCGCAAATTGTTGTCATGTGACCTGGCTCAGTTATATTTCCTTTCTATCTATCTCCTCTGATCTAAAACCAATTCTCACCTTTCCCTGGATTCTGCCATATTCCCAAGGGGGAGGGGGGATATGCATGTGGGTTTATTGCTTTCACTTCCTCTATTCACTAGAATGTAACCTTTTGTTTATTCGCCTTAGTGTCTGCTACCCATTACAATGTAACAAATTGCCTCCTATACTATGCATCCCTCTGAATTTCTCCCTAACCAGGCAGTTAGGAAAAAGGGGGAGAGGGACGAGATACAAACCTCCGGGACCTGGTTTATTTCTCCGTCCTCAAAATGAGGTGTGAAGAGCTGTGGAATGATCGTGCACAAACGGAGCCGAACTGATGTTATTTTTCCTTTCCCATCGATGGATTTAACACCTGGGGATTTGCCGGTCTGAACCGCCTGGATGAACTCTGGGATGGGGTTTGCTTAGGGACACTTTAAAATATCGATCTGTAAGGGAGTCCCTCAGATCCTGTCTATTATGCCTGCTATCAACTACTCTTAATAAAAGTTCCTGTTGGAAGAAATAGTTTCCAAGAGTTCTGCTTTCTTAAGATGTGGGACTGAAGTGGGTCCTTACAGGTGTGTGCACATGGGGGGGTGGCACGACATTTTGCAATGACCACAAGTTATTGATGGGTGGTAAAGTGCCCATCGTAATTTCAAACAGTTATTAAGCAGCAGTAACGTAAGTCATAAGGTTGTAATTCAAGGACTACCTACAGTGGTATCTTGTTACTCAACTTTAAGTGTTCTGAGAAGCACAATGAGTACCAAAGATGATGAGTACCAAACATTTTTTTCCCATAAGGAATAATGTAGTGAGTCACAAGGCAGCCGTCGCCCACAAATTCTAGCTTGCGCATTGAATACCAAACAAATGATGAGTACCAGGACAAAATGTTTGTGTCAAAATGCACTGAACACAAAAATTCAATGAGCTTCAAAGCAGTTGAGTACCAAGGAACCACTGGATATAATTACTTCAAATTCTATGGGCTTACTTCACTGTAAACATAAAACTAATCTACGCAAAAGGTTTGCATAATTCCAATTACATTTTAAATATCCCAATTAAAATAAAAATTGGAAGTGTTGCACTTACATCAACTTTATCTTCTTCAACAAGGACATATTGGAAATCACATTGCTTCATGAAGGAAATATAGAGGCTGGGCAAGGCATCTGGATCAATGGGAGAATACGCAGCAGGCACCTGCAGAAGTCTAGCAAAATGAAGCAAGCTATTCTCAGGCACCCAAACTTGCAGAGGGTTCTTTCCAGCAGAGAAGCTTATGGCTTTCTATGTACTTCTGTAATATTTTACAGAATATTGGATATAAAGATTAATACACGAGTGCATGCCAAATTACACAGCTACCTATACTAAAAGGCCAAGGTTTTAAAAATAAAGAGGATTTATTTCTATGTCTCACTCCATCTAGTGGCTTAAGTTGTCAAGCAAAAAAGTTAGATTCTACAGATATTTGTGCCAATATCATTGTTATTGTTGTTAGTTGCAAAGTCATGTCTGACCCATCGCGACCTCATGGACAATGTTCCTCCAGGCCTTCCTGTCCTCTATCATCTTCTGGAGTCCATTGACGCTCAGGCCTACTGCTTCAGTGATTCCATCCAGCCCCCTCATTCTCTGTCGTCCCCTTCTTCTATTGCCCTCAATCTTTCCCAGCATTAGGCATATATCCTATTAAAACTGAGTACATTACTATAGTGATGTTAAAATTGTAGGAGGCAAGTTCAATAGGACATATTATACAAATAAACACTTTGAAAATGGTGATAGTTTGAACTTAAGGCGGTGATAATAGCATGTTCTCCATTTATGTTAACCAACTGGTAAAGGCACAACATTACCCTAGAATCCAAGAAGGTAAGTTTATCCCAGGATAACAGTAGAGACCTATTTCCAAATTTTCAGTAAGGTGACAATGTTTCCTCAAGAAGTCTGTAAGCTCCGTAGCAAGGTTTATAACCGTCTTGTACATGTAGGAAACTGGAGTCTGATGGTTACATGCATCAAAGCACACGGCTCTCCTTTCTGGATATAATCTAGCCGCAGTCTGAACCAGCTCATGCAATGCCATTCTCAATATTTATCCTGCGTGTGCAAATAAGAAAAAAAAACAATCAATTAATCAAGTTACAATGGCACTGAAAAAGATGACTTATGATCATTTTTCACACTTCCGACTGTTGCAACACCCCTGTGGTCACAGGATCAAAATACAGATGCTTGGCAACTGGTTCATATTTGTGATGGTGGCAGTGTCCCAGAGTCATGTGATCACATTTTGTGACCTTCTGACAAGCAAATGGGGTAGTCAGATTCACTTAACAACGGTGTTACTAATTTAACAACTGCAATGACGCACCTAACAACTGTGGCGAGAAAGGTTGTAAAAATGGGGCAAAACTAACTTAACAACTGTCTTACTTAGCAACAGAAATTTTGGGCTCAGTTGTGATCGTAAGTCGAGGGCTACCTGTGCAATAAGATTAAATGAAACACACTACTATAAAAGAGTAAGATAAAAGAGTAAAATAGTAAACAGTGTAACATAAAATAAACATTTAACACCTCTAATGCCTATATATGTGTGTATAATTATATTCACACGCATAAATATATACACACATGCATATGTTAAATTTGGATTGCTAACAAAGAGTTAAAGGGAAGCTGGTATAGCTATTTCAAGCTCCTTAGCTCTCATCAGCCAGCTACACTCTTCTGAGATTCGAACCTGGGTTGCTTGCACGTTAGGCAGCTGTGTTGACATGCATATATACATACATACACACACACATGCATGCCATCTGTTCTGATCCAGCACACTTCTCATTTTCCTATGCTAAAAAGTAAAAATGATGTTAATAGCATTTCTCCACACTTTTTATTCAGTCTTGCAGTGTTTCTCAACCTTGACAATTTTAAGGCATGTGGACTTCAACTCCCAGAATTCCACAGCCAGCCTGGCTGTGGAATTCTGGGAGTTGAAGTCCACATGCCTTAAAATTGTCAAGGTTGAGAAACACAGATCTATAGGGAGATGCTTTCTAGAGACCCACCTGGGAATTAACCTCAGAAGCCTCTATCCAGGCCTACTTTGGAAGCCAAATAGCGCTGCCCAAGACCCAGAGGGGACGACTTGCCCACGATTTGCTGGAGAAACTCACACTTTGCTGCTGCCGACCCTGGCACATCCGTTAAATCAGAACGATGCCCCCCTTTATGACTTGTGGACTTCAACTCCCAGAATTCCTGAGCCAGATATAGTCACCCTCAGGAAGGCTGCAGAGAGCCAAGATGGCCGTCTGCAAGTGTCTGAAGGACATGCCGAGGGTGAGGCAGACTTGTTCAGAGTGGTTGCAGAAGATGGCATAAGAACAAGTGGGCTTTAATGACGAGGAACTCGTTTTTTTTGGCTGGCTCGGGAATTCTGGGAGTTGAAGTCCACAAGTCATCAAAGGGCCATCGTTCCCCATTAAGTCTTCTGGGCCAGTATACATACTCAATATATTTTTTGCAGCTATGACCTAAGTTTAGATAAATTAATTTAGATTTACAGGCACAGCCTCTAGGATGGTGGGTTTTGCTTTGTTTTGATGCCTTCAAGTCAGTGTTCACTCCTAGTGACTAGTCCAGTGTTGGCTGTGGAATTCTGGGAGTTGAAGTCCACATGCCTTAAAATTGTCAAGGTTGAGAAACACTGGACTAGCCACTAGGTACAGGGCTGGGCAACCTCGGCTCTTTTATGACTCGTGGACTTCAACTCCCAGAATTCCTGCGTCAGTCAGCTATGCTGAAGTCCACGAGTCATAAAAGAGCCGAGGTTGCCTACCCCTGTTCTGGGCACACAGCGTGGAAGAGACGACCGTTACCTTCTTCCGGCATGCTTTTCCAACTCCCCACCTAAGGCACAAACCAGGGCCGAGCCTGCTTAACTCCGCAACCCCAGCCGAGGTGGGCCAGAAGTTTGCACCGGGGAGCCTGCGGCCCAGGAGTCTCCTCGAGAAAGGAACGAGGTGCAGGATGCAATTCCCCCGCAGGGGCCTCCGCGCTCTTCTTCCCGAGAGGAAAACCTCTCCCGCTTCCCCCCCCCTCCCCCGCGTCGCCCACCATTTGCGTCACTCCTTTTCTTTTTGCCTACAGCGGGGCGCGCTGCGAAGGGCGGAAGAAGGGAGGATGAAGCCAAGGAGGAGGAGTCGGGCTGCACGCATAGCTGACTCAGGAATTCTGGGAGTTGGAGTCCATGAGTCATAAAAGAGCCGAGGTTGCCTACCCCTGGCCCAGAAGACTTAATGGGGAACGATGGCCCTTTGATGACTTGTGGACTTCAACTCCCAGAATTCCAGAGCCAGCAAAAAAAACGAGCTCCTTGTCATTAAAGCCCACTTGTTCTTATCCCATCTTCTGCAACCACTCTGAACAAGTCTGCCTCACCTTCGGCATGTCCTTCAGACACTTGAAGACAGCCGCCTTGGCTCCCTGCAGCCTTCCTGAGGGTGACTATATCTGGCTCAGGAATTCTGGGAGTTGAAGTCCACAAGTCATAAAGGGGGGCATCGTTCTGACTTAACGCACGCCAGAGGGCGGGGTTTAGGCTGGCGGGGGGGGGGCGCCCCGGTTACCTGAAGAGGACTTGCAGGCTGTGTGTCTCCTCGGGGATCGCGGAACAGCTTTCAGGGCAGGATTTGGGGAGAGGGGATCTTGGGAGGGCGGCCGGACGGACCAGCACCGTCATTTTCTCTCTCTATGGAGGCGTCTGTCTCATCTTGGCGCGGTCCGCGATTCTCTTCCTTTGCTCTAGACGCTGCAACCGATTTGTCAGGGCGCTGACGGTCCTCTGCTCAGAAAGAAGAAAAGGGCTCCCTTGCTTTAACTGACTTGGATGAAGCCCTCCCAACACGTTGCGAATCTTGTAAGAAACGGGTTAAGGAGTCCGGGATAGGATAGAATAGGATAGAGAATATAGGATGGGATGGGATGGGATGGAATAGAAGAGAATATAGAATATAGAATATAGAATATAGAATAGAATAGAATAGAATAGAATAGAATAGAATAGAATAGAATAGAATAGAATAGAGAATATAGGATTGGATGGGATGAGATGAGATGGGCTGGAATAGAAGAGAATAGAGAATATAGAATAGAATAGAATAGAATAGAATAGAATAGAATAGAATAGAATAGAATAGAGAATATAGGATTGGATGGGATGGGCTGGAATAGAAAATAGAGAATATAGAATAAGATAGGATAGGATAGAGAATATAGGATTGGATGGGATGGGCTGGAATAGAAGAGAATATAGAATATAGAATAGAATAGAATAGAATAGAATAGAATAGAGAATATAGGATTGGATGGGATGGAATGGAATGGAATAGAATAGAATAGAATAGAATAGAATAGAATAGAATAGAATAGAATAGAGAATATAGGATTGGATGGGATGGGCTGGAATAGAAAAGAATAGAGAAAATAGAATAGAATAGAACAGAACAGAACAGAATAGAATAGAATAGAGAATATAGGATTGGATGGGATGGGCTGGAATAGACGAAAATAGAGAATATAGAATATAGAATAGAATAGAGAATATAGGATTGGATGGGATGGGCTGGAATAGAAGAAAATAGAGAATGTAGAATATAGAATAGAATAGAATAGAATAGTGATGGCGAACCTTTTAGAGACCAAGTGCCCAAACTGCAACTCAAAACCCACTTATGTATCAGCGGGGGCCTGGTGGGTGTGGTCCATCGGGTGGGCATGGCCCATTGGATGGGCGTGGCTGCAGTGGTAATGGCAGACTGGGTGGGACTAAAGAGTTCAATCAATCAATTCCAACTTTGCGAGATTTTTTTTTTCCTTTGAGAAGTTGAAATTGATTGAACTTTTTTTTTTTTTTTGCACACAGCGGCAGAGGCCTAATGCGAAAAGGTTTTATCAAACCCAGCTGAAGGCCTAGGACTGGGGCGACGGTGTACGTGCCCACAGACAGGGCTCTGCGTGCCACCTGTGGTATGCATGCCATAGGTTCGCCACCACGGGAATACAGGTTCCCAACCAGGGTGCTCGCATCCCCTGGGAGTGCGAGATGATATTCCAGGGGGGTGCAAAAACTTGGGTTTTCAAAATTATAGTGTATATGCATTATTCATTGCCGTTATTTCGAACTTTGGTAAGGGGTGCGAGAATGTATCAGAAGCATTTTAGGGGTACGCGGTATAGAAAAGGTTGGAAGGCACTGGAGTAGAGAATACAATGCAGTAGAGTAGAATAAAACCTTGGAGGTCTACTAGTGACCTAGTCCAACCCACTGTTCAGGCAGGAAACCCTATAGTATACCATTTTAAATGACTTGCAGCTTGCCGGCTGGCTGATCAAATGAACCCACTTGACGGTTAAGCAGAAAGAGAGGTTGCAGCGTTGTAAAGTACAATAACAGGGAAACACTGTTTGAGGAGCCGGAAGAAGATTAAACAATTTGGCAAGCTTGGCTTATAGGCGGTCCCTTCTCTGTGCAGATCTAGCGCGTTGCCGAAGAGTGCTGGAGTAGCACTAGGGAGGTCAAGATCAACCTTGAAAGACAAAACTCTTGGAGCGCCTTTGGAAAACCGACTACCGGCATCTCTGCAATCTAAGGATATTTGTAGGTGGAGACATGGATTGTAGGAGCACAGCTGCGGGTTTGAGAAAGAAAAAGTTTCTGCAATTGCTGTTTTACGGTCATATCAAATGAGTTTAACAAACTGCTGGATGCGGATTATTAGTTCCTACGGGATATGTTTAACTGGCTGCAGAGCAAAAGGAAATTAGAAATAAACTGCTGCGTGAGGCCGAATGTTTCAAGAAATATCCAGAGATACTGGATGCTTGCAGACTTTTTTTGTACTGTAGATCTACTTCAAGTTTCATATAATACTTTACTCTTTTCTTTTTCCTCCTTCCCTCCCTCCCTCAGTTCACATACACTATAGGACAGAAAAGATAAGCCAAGTCCATGATGTAGTGGCATCAAAGCAAGTAAATGTGTAATTTAATATTTCTATAGTGACTGTTTACTAAGAACTGGTAACAATTTCATGCATGAGGTGCATACAGCTAGTCCTTGACTTATCACCATTCATTTAGTGACTGTTTGAAATTACAACAGCAATAAAAAAAAGTGACCGAGGAGCATTTTTTCACACTTATGACCCTTGCAGCGTCCCCATAGGATCAAAATTCAGATGCTTGGCAACTGACTCATATTTATGACGGTTGCAGTGTCCCAGGGTCATCTGATTGCCTTTTGTGACCTTCTGACAAGGAGTCAATGGGAAAGCCAGATTCAATTAACAACCTTGTTACTAACATAACTGCAGTGATTCACTTAACAAGTGTGGCGAGAAAAGTCATAAAGTGGGGCAAATCTCACTTAACAACTGTTTCGCTAGCAACAGAAGTTCGGGGCTCAATTGTCATAAACTGAGGACTACCCGTATTAGCATGTAACACATAGAAAATCTAAATTGGAGAATTAGTTTCAGGTGAGATTGCTATGGAATCTGGGAAGCTTAGAAAATCACCACATGACTTTAGATAGAAGCTTTTTTTTATAAGAAAGAATAAAGAAAAAGCTGTTTTCTTCTTTAATAAAAGTAGTCCTCGGTTTCTTAAGGGGTGATTAAAAACAATTCAGATATAAGCCCTAAAAAATGAAATAATCTTATATTTAAAAAAATCATAAATGAACAATTTTCTCAACTGTTTGGATTGCATTTTACTTTTCCTAAATGATTTTTCTTGTTTCTAAAAGGCCCGATAAACCACTGATCTTTAGCTGAATACTGCTGGAAAGCCAAGGTAAATATGTTGCATGCTTGTTACTAATATTATCTGATTATTTGCATGAGTTAATTTGTTGATTTAGCAGATATGCATTTCTTAAGGAACCATGGCCGTTTTTCAAAAGGATGAAAATAAAACAATTTCGTTATATTGTTATAATACTGCTTTGGTATAATCAGTACTGAGTAGAAACCACAAATGGACTTAAAACATTCAAATACTGTAATCTATATGGACTAAAAGTATTTTTATTTAACAAAAAACAGTTATACTGAGGTTTTTTTAAAAATCTATTTATTTTTGAAAGATAACAGACAATTTTAAATGGATAGCATTTCAACTGCACTTCCTTGTTATTGGTGGCAGTCTTATTTAAAAGACAGCAGTTAGGGAATGTAAAATCTCTTGTGCTTTGCTGCCTATTTTCTTCATGAATACCCACATCTTTACCATTTACATGAATGTTTGAAAATCAAATAAAAATGAAAGCAAAGCTTCCCAGCTCAAACTGTTATTGCACTAAAAACCATTCATAAGCACATTGCGGTGGGGGGGGTTGATTCTTTTTTCCTCACAATCATCTCCTGTACAGACCTGGGAAAGAAATTAATTGCTAAAATACATCATGTATATTTACATTTAATTATATATAGCACTGCAACATCCAATAAGTTTCTTTGTGCCATTTTCCCTATAGGAACTAAGGTTTTTTTTTTTTTTAAAAAAAAGAAAAATCAGGTCTTCCAACCATTCTTAGATCTCATTTCTTTTCCCTATTCATATATTTTAAATGGTTATTTAAAACTGAAAAAACAATTAACAAGGACTTCCTCGCCCTTGATTTGGTGTTTCATATTAACTGCAGCCTGTTAAGGCATATTTTTAAACTTCACTTCTGTGTACCAATTAATGCACACCATTCCTGATTATGCATTCTGACTCTCTTCAGCCAACGAAGGACCTTTTCTATAGAACAGTGTTTCCCAAACTTGACAATTTTAAGGCATGTGGACTTCAACTCCCAGAATTCCACAGCCAGCATTGCTGGCTGTGGAATTCTGGGAGTTGAAGTCCACATGCCTTAAAATTGTCAAGTTTGGGAAACACTGCTATAGAAGAAGGCAAAGCTTCACTGTGGTATTAAAAATCTGCAAGGTCATAGACCCTTATGAAGTCCTTATGTTCTAGAACAGGGGTCCTCAACCTTGGCACCTTTAAGACTTCAACTCCCAGAATTCCTCAGCCAGCAAAGTCTTGAGGACCTCTGTTCTACAAGGAGCAGGCAGTAACACATAAGACAGTAAGGCTTGATCCCACATTACTAATTGTATGTCAAGTTCATCAAAACAAGTCAACAACAGAAATGGGGTCTATTTCATTTCCCTCACTGCTTCAGAATTAATTGATTGGAATCCCCGGAGGGAAATTTTAGGAAGAGAAAGAGAGAAAATGTTTCAGCATGTGACCATCTCTGCAAAGATTAAAAAAAAAAAGGTTGGCTATTGGGTATGACTTTTGATTGTGTGAACTTAAGAGTTTGTCTCTAGTATTTATTTTGTATGTATAATCTGAGTAAATGTGTATGTGCAGACTAGCATCTTATAATTGACCCCTAACCCTTATCTATCTATCTATCTATCTATCTATCTATCTATCTATCTATCTATCCATCCATCAAATCTAATCTAATCTAATCTAATCTAATCTAATCTAATCTAATCTAATCCAATCCAATCCAATCTAATCTATCATTTCTATATATCTATATCCAGGGCTTTTTTTCTCATAAAACGCCCAGAACAGAATATTTATATCCAGGGCTTTTTTTCTCATAAAACGTCCAGAACAGAGTTCTGGCACCTTTTTTGGATGGAACCTTGTAGGGTAGACAAGGTGGGTTGTATGACATGTTGAGTTCCGACACCTTTTTTTTTTTTAAGAAAAAAAGCACTGTCTTATCTAATTTATTATTTATATGGCTGTTCAGATCAGATATTGTGTCATACAATATATCAAAAATAAAACAACAGTTTAAGTTAAAACTCTAAACTCTTAAAGAGTGTAATTTTATTTATCATTTGTGAAATTGATCCATCTCCCAAAGGGAAAAAGAAGAGTTGATTCTCTTAGCCACATACCTCAATGCTACACGGCCAACAATTACCCCTTTTTGCTTTTTTTGGGGGGGGATCATTTGTTAGGAAAGCGGTACAGATGGTTGGAGCCCCCCCCCCTTTCATCAATCAAATTAGTGAAAATGTGCCAGGTGAAGTGTCCCATGGAACACAGATGTAACAAGAGTAGCCATCATGGTTGAGGTGAAGGAGGAGAGGGGGTGAGTGAAGAAAAAGAGGGAAAGAAGTAAGTTGGTTTGAGGTGGGATGCGATTTGGGGGGAAATGGGCGGGCAAGACCGAATGTGGTGTGTATCAATTTGTTTTATTTTTTATCTGAAGTATTTGTAAGATTGTTATGTATTGTAAAGTTGAAAATAAAAATTTTTACAAAAAAAAAAAAAGAAAAAAGAGTAGCCATCATGCTTAAATAACAAAGCAGCAGACAGAGATCAGGTGTGCAGATTCAGGTCCATGCACTGATGTATTACCTGGTGTAATCATGAAACATCCGCAGAAGCAAAGCATAGGGTACATCAAGAACCCAATAAAAGATTCACACAAATTTTGGGAGAGGGGTCTTGAGACCTCCAACGGGTTACCCAATAGTCTCAGCCACAATGAGAAAAAAGTTCTCTACATCTTAAATCAGCAATCTGACCTGACTTGTATGAGAGTCCCACAGAATAGTTGTTAGTTTTTCCTCAGTTACACAGAAAACATTTAAGTTTTTATGCTGATAAGCATTATCCAAAATGTGTGGAAATTAATATTTGGAAATGATGCTTGCTGTTTTATTCTACAGGCAGGGTGATAAGAGGAAGTCCTGCATTTGCTACTGGTCATGAATCTTGGCATCTTCCATTGATGTATAAATGAAATATAGAAAGAACAAGAGGGAGGGTAAACAAACGTCAAGTTTATGTTTTCAAGAGACTAAGCACAGCAAGAAGTCCTTCATGTCATTTTTGCAGCAATCAAAAAAAAAAAAAAAAGAACAGGCTGGTGTGAACTACACCTCCGGTAGCTGGACCTTAAAAGTCAGACTGAGTTTTCTCCTAAGAATTTCCTTTTGGAAAGGAACTTTATAACTTTGGAAAGTTATTAACTACCTCTGATCAAACACCAAACCCGTTTGTTAGGCTATTTAAAGGTTAGGCTATTTAAAGGCTATTTGAAGTAGGAACAGAATTATTTGCTACTTGAAATCAGAGGTGTCATATGAATTATAATAATGAATTGGCTTTCATTCCAAATGCCCTCAAAACTATTCCGAACCACTGAATAAAACAGCAATATATATTAAATTATCATCATTGAAATAAAGTTGTGTGTTAATTTTTCAGTGTTTGGAGTCTTCTTTGAAGGCCTGGATGCAGCAAAAGTAATCAACATTTAAGCACTGAACTTGAAAGAAGATATTGAGGAAAATTAGCCCTTATGTCTAATGCACAAGTGATAGTCAGCTGGTTATTTTTTCCTCTTTGATTCGCAACTTGAAAAAAATAAGGCACAAGGTATTAGATGCTATTTGTTTAACAGCTCCCTGAAGCTCCTCGTCTCAGCCAAGCACTATATAAAAATAATATTCACTCTTTGGTAGCAGATTATAGCTGAAAGTTGCTGCTTTAAAAGTACACTCAGTCTATAAAAAAAACAGGAATCCCATATTGTTGGATTAAAACCAGCGACGAAAGTAGTAAAACTTAAAAGATCTGTTTGTTGATTTAAGATCAAATTCACATTTTTTTTAAATTGATTGAACACTGTTTAAAATGCGAGATGGCTTAATGGCTCACAACCTCTCATAATGTAATTATAAGAAACATTACTGTAAGTGAAAGCCTTAGAAGACCTCCACCGAAGTTTCTTGGCCAGATTAGGCCACCTATGGAATCAAGAGATTTTTGGCTTCTTTTATCCATGCATCCCCTCCCCACTGCCCCCATTATAGCGCTTTTGCATAATTGTTTAACATTTATTCTATTTTGCTCCTTTTTTTACCCTCTCCTAATAAGGTCTAGGCAAACGTGAGTGGTTTGATCACTTGCTTAGTTAGCAGCAACACATTTCATCAGTTCTAAATGTTAAGCCTTTGGTGATAATATTCACAAAATTCACCACTCTAGCTCTACTGGATATTCTCCAACAAGGCAAGCTGTACAATGGCCAATCTTCCCGCTTTGGAACTTTTTTGATTTTAGGTTATTTTCATGGTCTTGTCTCGCTTTTATGCTTTCTTGAACAGACGATACCAATCCTTCTACTGAGAGGTAAACAACGCTGTCAGCTCCTGAAAAGAAGAAGAACATATCACCGAAGCTGTACTATTTTACACTGTCTAAATTGCTTAACTCAAAGATTTTCTATAGATGGATCTTTAATAAAATATAGTAACTGTTAATTGCACCACTGGAACTACTGACTTTACATATAGGGTAAATTTGTACATGTACAATATCTGTCCCTTAATTTATATTGTACATTTTAATTTTTTAAAATATTTTTGGTATCTTTTTTATCTGTGCATCTTGGATCTCTGTTGATTTAGTTACTTAATGCTTGTTAATCATAGTTTAATCATTGAACTAATCATAGTTCAATCAAAAGAATAAAAAAAAGTGTTAAAATATGATAGTGATGTTTTATTTTCCAACGACATTCCAACTGTAAAAATTCGTTTTCAGGAAGAGAAATTAAAAGTACAGAACTAGCAAGGACGATATCTTAATTAGATGGATCAATTAGCATTAGCTAATCTTGATTCATCAAATTTGCAATAAAAGGTTGCTGATCACTGTTTAGACCTACCTAAGCCAAAGATTTTGGTTTTGGATACACCAGCTGTCAGTTTGGATTTCCAATTATATAAGGCAAAATATGCTGTTCCTTTTATTTAGATGAATGAAATATTGACCAAATATATGTTAGCTACTCTAAATATTCCATATTGATACTAATCTTACATCTTATTTAATGATGTGCATGTAAATCTGCAGCACATTAATACATGCTTACTTCATTAAGCAAAGACATTAATATATGCAGAAAAATCAATGCGTTAAATGGATATTACAAACGAATTCATGTAAACAATCCTCCTTTAACTGGCCACAAGCACTTCTGTGCATGAAAGTAAAACATAGAAAAACAGGGCTGGAAGACCTCCGGAATTTGTGGGTGCTGCATCGCTGAAGGTTTATAAGAAGAGACTGGACCTCCATTTTTCCAGAATGGTATAGGTCAGGTACCGGGCCACGGCATGCCAGCAGCCGGTCCGCACAAACAATCAAAGCTTCATCCGTGGGATGCAGGCAGCACACAAAACCACAAACTCTCCAGTCCGCGGAAGAACCTCTCTTCACAGAACCAGTCCATGATGCCCAAAAGGTTGGGGACCTCTGGTATAGGATCTCCTGCTTAAGCAGGGAGTTGGAGATCCAGTCTCTTCTTAAAAAACTCCAGTGATACAACACCCACAAATTCTGGAGGCAAGCTGTTCCACTGATTGTTCTCACTGTCAGGAAATTTCTCCTTAGATCTAGATTGGATGCCTCTTTAATAACCTTTCCTCCATTACTTCTTGTCCTGCCTTCAGGTGCTCCACTAATATTCCATAAATTTCTTCAAAGAATTACTCCCATAATCACCAACACAACCTTATTAATTGTAACCACAACAATTAATCTCTGCCGTAATAACTCAATTTATCTTCTAATTAACCTGGCTACCCTTCTGAAACTTTTGCTTGAAGAAAAATAAGGTATATTTACCTATGTAGCCCGCTAGGTCTTTAAATTCAGGCCTGTTTGCAATAAGTTCTTCTTTTGTTGGAATGTTTATTCCCATGTAACAAGGAAATTTTATTGGAGGTGAAGCCACCCGGATGTGTACCTGTGAGGAGAAATGCAATTATGATACTGGCAGTGTTTTAATTACTTCATAATTTGCAAGGAGCCAACTTTAGATGCTACAGGGATAAGGCTAAGAACAGAAGACACTGTCTGAAGAATTGACTGGGTTTGTGTGTCTTCTTAGTAGCAAGAATATGTAGTAGTTAGGAGCAGAAGAGCTTTGAGAGAGGAACAGTCATGAACCATTACCTTTTCCCCTTTCTTCTCCCTCTATTCCAGCGGTTCTCAACCTGTGGGTTGGAAACCCCATTTGGGGTCGAACGACCATTTCACGGGGGTCGCCAAACAACTCAGACTCTCTTGAATAGAGTCTAATTCTATTGGCTTTCAAAAGCCAACAGGAATTGTCCAGGCTGTCTCTGCCCTGCTGAGCCCGCCAAAAGTCCCATTCTGCAAAGTTGTCTGCAGCGAAGGCGAGCTATCTGGAAGTTTCCCCCCCCCTCCCTGCTGAGCAACTACTAAAAATGTAAGTAAAAGAGGGCCAGGGGTGGGAGGTGGGAGGCCGGCGGGCGCAGGGAGGGTTGCTGGAGTGCGTGGGGCCAGGCGGTTGCCTTACCTCCCTTGGGCTGGGCCAGCTGGTGGCCCAGCCGGTGGTCGCCCTATGCCGTCGCTGCCCCTTGCCAGCTACACCTCGGCCTGTTCAGGGGGCGGCACCACGCATGCGCGGTGCTCCCGGGCAGGGAATGTCCACGACTTACAACCGGTTGGGTAGTCCTCGACTTGCGACCAGTTGGGGTCGCAGCATTAAAAAGGTTGAGAACCACTGCTTTATTCTGATATGTTCACTTACCTCCTTAGCACCAGATTCTCTCAATAGTTTAATTATAGGGGAAATAGTGTTGCCTCGCACAATTGAATCATCAATAAGGACAACTCGCTTCCCCCTGAAGTTGTCTGACAAGACTCCAAATTTTTTGGCCACTCCCAGCTGTCTTAACCTCATGTTTGGCTGAATGAAAGTTCTTCCTACATATCTGTTTTTGCAAAGCACTTCAATGTACGGCAAGCCACACTGAAAACAAGCAAACACAAAGATCAAGGTACATTTTTGGCGCAGCGATTAAAACGCTTTCCATATCAAATACTCGCGACTGGTTTGGCATGAACTGACTTTTTAAGTCATTGCTCTGAACCGCACAAAGGAAAGACTACGTGCTAAAAGTCTGTATTAAGTAGAATTCCCTCCATTTCTCTGTGGGAGAAACACAATTTATTCATTTGGTATTATAATTCAGAGTAAAGGTAACGGACACCCAAAGTAAATTTTTATCATGCATTTTTTCCTGATGCTTTGTTTTGTATCGGGCTCAGGTGGATTATAAATACCGTATATGCCGGCGTGTAAGGCGACTTCCGCAAGCGTAAAAATCGGCGCCAAAGACGGGGGTCGTCTTATACGCCGAGTCGTCTTATACGCCGGAAATACTGGTAGTTTCCGGTGTATAAGATGACGTTCTAGGAATGCGGCTCGGCGACAAAGACGGGGGTCGTCTTATACGCCGAGTCACCTTGTACGCTGGCATATACGGTAATAATTTATAATTTATTGTACATAAATGGTGAGGAGGTGGAGAGGGTGGGTAGTTTTAAATTTCTGGGCACTTATATCTCGGAGGACCTCTCATGGACTATGAATGTTAACATGCTTGTGAAGAAGGCGCAGAAGAGGCTGTACTTCCTGAGAATGCTCAGGAAGATAAATCTATCTCAGCACCTACTTCTGTCCTACTATCACAGCACCATTGAGAGTGTCCTGACATACGGCATTCTTGAATGGTATGGGAGCAGCTCTGTAGAGGACAAAAAAGCTCTACAGAGAATTATTAAAACTGCCCAGAATATTATCGGACTCCAGCTACCAGCCCTGGACAACATCTTCAAATCTCGCTGTTTGAGGAAGTTGCATAACATTCTCAGAGACTCTTCCCATCCTGCTTACAATCTCTTTGGACTGTTGCCTTCTGGCAGAAGATATAGAACATTTAAAACTCGGACCACACGTTTTCTGAATAGTTTTTATCCCAGAGGTATAATTGCACTTACCGTAAATGCCGGCGTATAAGACGACTTCCGCGAGCGCTGAAATCGGCGCCAAAAACAGGGGTCGTCTTATACGCCGAGTCGTCTTATACGCTGGAAATACTGGTAGTTTCCGGCGTATAAGACGACGTTCTAGGAAAGACGGGTCGTCTTATACGACGGGTCGCCTAATACGCCGGCATATACGGTAATAATGAACTAAAGGGCCACCATCAGTGAACTGTTGGACAGTATTACTTGGTCTGTTGGGTGGATGTTTGGACGATTTTGAGGAGTGGGGAATTGTGGCGGGTGGGAGTGTGTTTGGGGATTATGTGTGTGGGACCCGGTCTTTGAGTGTCACGTAAATTTCGTTATGTGTATACTGTGTATACACAATGACAATAAAGTTTGTTTGTTTGTTTGTTTGTTTATAACAATTAAAAACCACAGAGGGTGTTGAGAGGTACCTTCTGCGCATAGCCAAGGGCTGCTGGTGTTGCCGATTCTGGGACTGTGCTAACCAAATCCGCTTCAACGGGCGCCTCAATAGCAAGCTGTTGACCACATCTCCTTCTTACAGAATATACCATCTGACCTATAGGAAGAATGAAAAAGTTGTATGTTTTTTGTGTTGAACTGGCCACGGTTTTATCTTCTCCTTTTGAAATTACACCTCTGTCTAGAGGTGCCACTTTAATTTAGCTTTCCAAGAACTGCCTATCCAAGTTTCAACTAGGTTGGTCAACAACAATTTCCATATTACGCATCCAAGGCCCTGGTCCAAGAACCTGTAAGAGCAAGTCCAGGAAGACAAAAATATACTTACTGATGGTCCTCAACTTGCCACCATTTACTTAGTGACCGTTTGAAGTTACAATGGCAGTGAAAAAAAAGCGACTTATGACCATTTTTCACACTTAGGACCATTGCAGCATCCCCATGGTCACCTGATCAAAATTCGGATGCTTGGCAATGGGTTCATATTTATGACGGTTGCCATGTCCCAGGGTCATGTGATTACTTTTGCGACCTTTTGAGAAGCAAAGTCAACGGGGAAGCCGGATTCGCTTAATTGTGTTACTAACTTAACAACTGCATTGATTCATGTAATAGCTGTGGCAAGAAAGGTTATAAAACGGGGCAAAGCTCACAAAACAAACGTCTTGCTTAGCAACAGAAATTTTGGCCTCCATTATGGCCATAGGTTGAGGACTATCTGTACAGTCTTTAGTAAAGTATCTTTAAAGCTGGCATAGGTGAAATACAGAATCATGAAAGCTACAATATAATAGGACAGTGATGGCGAACCTTTTAGAGACCGAGTGCCCAAACTGCAACCCAAAACCCACTTATGTATCGTCGGGTGCTGGGTGGGCGTGGCCCTTTGGGAGGGCGTGACCCATTGGGTGGGTGTGGCTTCGGTGATAACGGCAGACTGGGTGGGACTAAAAAGTTCAATCAATCAATTCCAACTTTGCGAGATCTTTTTTTCCCGCGCGAAGTTAAAATTGATTGATTGAACCTTTTTTTTTTTTTTGCACACGGCGGCAGAGGCCTAAAGCAAAAAAGGTTTTATAAAACCCAACTGAATGCCTAGGACTGGGGCGACGGTGCGTGTGCCCACAGAGAGGCACCACAGTAATAGGACCTTTCCACCCTCATTTATACTGAGTTAATTATGCTGAGCTTCATTGGAGGGTTTGAGATGCTTCTTCTAGATCTCTCCCTAGCAGTGCTAAGCTGCTCTTTATAAGCTTTTAACTGATTTGTCTGCTATTGCTCGTCTGTGTTTTCTTCTATTTCTTTCTGAAGAAATCTCTATTGATACTACAGAATACAACTTTCCACCCATCAGTATTATAATCCCACCCCACACCCCCTTATGAAAAGAAAGCAATGGAATTTACAAAGAATTGAACTGCTTTTCAGCTAACAAAGTCCTATTGTTAAATAACCATCTACCGTATATGCCAGCGTATTAGGCGACCCGGTGTATAAGACGACCCCCGTCTTTGTCGCCGAGCCGCATTCCTAGAACGTCGTCTTATATGCTGGAAACTACCAGTATTTCCGGCGTATAAGACGACTCGGCGTATAAGACGACCCCCATCTTTGGCACTGAGTTTAGCGCTTCCGGAAGTTGTCTTATACGCCGGCATATACGGTATATAATCTGCCCGCATTGTGAAAGCCTTCCTCTTGATTCTACAACGGGATTCACACTCATAAACTTTGTTTTGTGACATTTTTCTAAAGTACCCAGTAAAATGTTAGGATTTGTTTGGAAGAGCTTAAAATCTAAAGTAATGTAGCCAAATGAAAGATGATTTGGAGATAGTTTACCTTCAAAGATGCTATCTGGCCTTGCAAAGTACACATATTCAAAAATGCAGAACGCTGATGGATCTCCTTGAGGTCTTGGTACAATATCTAAAGATTGGACATCATACTTGGATATTTTCACAATCTCTCCAGGCATGACTTCCCGATAGTATCTTAAAAATATAGTTGTACATGCTTTGTTTAGAAACACTGGTATTTGGTTATAGAGAAATATCGTTTTCAGATTGGAAAGACAATAACATCTTTTTTTTCTAAAGAGGAAGGGTGTCTTTGAAAATCTACATTTATTCCTTACTTTGTCAGATGTTTTTGATAATTATTCTGCACTTATTATTTACTAAACTTATACCTTTATAATGGGAGGGCAACTATTTTCTCAAATTGTAAAATAACTTCCTGCTTTCCTTGAAAGTGAAAAATGGAATGAGTTAAAAAAGAAAGAATCCATTTTTCTCTGAGCATGCAAATGAAGCAGTCAATTTCAAGAACAAATAAAATATTTTTTATTATATATATATATATATATATATATATATATATATATGTATATGTATATGTATATGTATATGTATATGTATATGTATATGTATATGTATATGTATATATGTAGGTCTTTGGCTGTTCGGGTTTTCTCCCGCGTAAAATTGGAAGTGTCTTGCCAAGACACTTCCAATTTTACGCGGGAGAAAACCCGAACAGCCAAAGACCTACATACAAATACCCGCGAAAACCTCAGAATATATATATATATATATATATATATATATATATATATATATATATATATATATATATATGTAGGTAGGTCTTTGGTTGTTCGGGTTTTCTCCCACGTAAAATTGGAAGTGTCTTGGCGACGTTTCGACGAAGTCCCATTCGTCATCTTCAGGCTGGTGCTTTCAGCTTCGTGCCTCGAGCAGCAGTGTGTGGTCTTGGCTGTTTCTTCCTTCAAAAGGAAGAGCAGCAGTATGTAGGTGTCTTGGCTGTTTCTTCCTTCAAAAGGAAGAAACAGCCAAGACCACACACTGCTGCTCGAGGCACGAAGCTGAAAGCACCAGCCTGAAGATGACGAATGGGACTTCGTCGAAACGTCGCCAAGACACTTCCAATTTTACGTGGGAGAAAACCCGAACAACCAAAGACCTACATACAAATACCCGCGAAAACCTCAGAAAACATATATATATATATATATATATATATATTATATCTATATATATATATATATATATATATATATATATATATATATATAAAAACAAAAGCACGATATTCAGAGTTTATTAATAGTTTTCACAGATGAAGTATTTCATTATTTATCTTTTAAGAAATGCCCTAATCCAGGGGTAGGCAACCTCGGCTCTTTTATGACTCATAGACTTCAACTCCCAGAATTCCTGAGCCAACATGGCTCAGCTTGGAAACCTCTCCCTTTCCCCTCAGCATGGCTGGCTCAGGAATTCTGGGAGTTGAAGTCCACGAGTCATAAATGAGCCAAGGTTGCCTACCCCTGCCCTAATCTCAACATTGCAAAGTGATTCAGTGCAATATGGACTTTCGGCCAAATGCTTTACTGTCTTAAAACTAAATATTGCTATATGCCAATGTGGTAGATGCAGTGCTCAGTTCTTCCTTAAACAATGAAGAAATTATTGATTTGCTTTTAATTCCTCTTTAAACAAATGAATTATGAACTTACTCTGCACCAATAGATAAAAAGCTACACGATTCTGAAGAAACTACCCAGCCTTCGGTTTCAGCATTAATTTTCCCTGTAAATAAATTCAACCATAATTAAAGAAATGTCTTAACAATTCTAAGAACCTCATGTCTGTCTGTTTAATTTTACACAGTACATTTGCTGCGACTGCCACCTGCTGTTTTCTATAGTAAAACTGAAGAGGGGTGGAGAAACCTACTTAAAAAGGCAATAGACATTTGTAGGATACAATGAGTACACTGGAATTTTCCAAAACACGACAAACTGCCTGTTCACTAACAAAATATGTTATTTACACTTCGCTGTGATGGCAATATGAAAAACTGATCTGTCTACAGCAAATATACAGTGAAGAGAGTGAAAATAACTAATGTCACAGATGACCAGCTAGTCTAGATACCAAAGATTCTTTTCCAAAATTTAAATCTAGTTCAAATAAATCTGAAAATATTTGTGGAAGTAGATCGGTGTATTTATATTAAAATTTACATCGCTACATTTGAACCTGTTCTTCTTCTCTGTCATGATTACTAAAAATATTTATTTTCAAATATTCCAGTGGTCACAGACTAATCATAAACATACCCATTGCATATGTTTTACTTTAAAATTTAATTTAATATAGGACATAACTGCATGTTACTGGAGAATAGGTCAGAAATGTAAAGATACGCGTCTTCCCATAACGGTATGCAGCGATCACATTTTTAAGGTGAAAGATAAGTGGCTCACTGATTAAAAAAAAGAATTTGAGAAAGGTAAGAGTATTTTTTAAATAAATGTACTTTCAACTAGAGTTCTTAAAGGAGTTTATTACACATAGGGAATCCATACCTTTCCTGCTGATATCACCTACTGGAACAAGGCGGCCGATACAGAGAGGACGGTTCCCATAGGGATCACGAACTGCATAAATAATGTCTTTATGCATCATCAGAAGGGAATATGAAGTGGGTGTTTCATTCATCAAATTTTTAATCCTGAAATGGAAAAGCTTATTTAATACACTTCTTTATTTCAAGAATTCCAGCAAAAGAGACCTTGCGTAAATAGAGGTCTGTTATTGATTTTAATTCTTTTCTCATGAGGCACATGATTTACCTTGCCACCCAGTCTGGTGTATCATCTTGCTCTAAAGGAGGGGTGAATGCCAACAGTTGAGTGATCAGTTCACTATCAGAACTGGTAGATAGTCCCACTCCATGACGCATTAGCTGCATAACAAAAGACAAAGGATTATTATAGGTAATTATAGTACAGGTTCTCTCTCTCTTTCTCCCTCTCTCTCTCTCTCTGTATGTGTGTGTGTGAGTGAAGTCAGCAGAGTGCCAGTGGGAACAGCTAAATGAATCCAAATGACCATATAATTAATTTAGCACTCTTTGCAGATGGCGAACTCTTTATTCAGCATGCAAAAAGTGATGCAAAAGTTGGTGGTATGGTTACACTGATTGTTATCAATATAACATATTAACAACATAGTGTAGCATTGTGTTAGGTTATATAATGCATTCTAACAGGCACTGAAAAATTTCTTTCTATACTAACAATAACAAATACGCTTTGATCAAAAACACAAAAGACTGGATCAGGAAGTAGTTGCCATTTCTAGGCGTAACTAAGATGGATTTTTTTTTTCCAAACTTAAAACATTTTGACTGTGAAGCCTGTGTTACTGGAAAGTAACACAGAAGGTTTTGGCAACTTTAATAATAATAATAAAAAAAAGAGTCTGCATGGTCTTCCATGTTTCAGAGAATGGGAAACAGTAAGCAACTTGAGCTGCTCAGATACACGTCAGCTGTCTCACTAGAGCATGGGTGTCAAACTCACAACGTCACGTCACGTGACGTATCGCGACTTTTTTGCCATTGCTGGCAATGGGGTGGGCGCGGTTTCACTATGATGCATCCGGCCTGCAGGCTGGCAGTTTGACAACCCTGCACTAGAGGCAACAGCATGTTGGATCACTACTATATCACATTAAAAGGTGCTTATCACACTCTTCCTAGAGTGGCTGTCTCTCTGATCACTGTATGACCTATCCCTTCCTTACCTACATGCAGAAACTTAAGTGAAGTCTTGCACTAAGGAAGCAAAGTTGGAGCTGCAGGCTTGCTGTCAACGCTGCAAATACTGTATATTCTTGCTTTGACAATATGCAGAACTGTCTGGTATTTTTGGGGTTAATGCAGAGCAGAAGAGTGTGGGAGGGGTAAAGCCCGGGAAAGAAAAAGGAAGGAAACCTATGATCTTCACACTAATTGGATAATGTGATATATGACAGCTAATTTAGGGAGGGAACATGCTGATAATTTAACTGAGGAAGAGAGCCTAGATCTTAGCTGTTATTTTGTAACAATAAATGACTTTTAGGAAAATCAATGCCTGGAAGTTCTTTGAAGTGTTTCATTAGCCGGAACCATAACACTTGCTTTAAGTACGAAGACTGGGGTGTTTTTAAAGCTGATTCAGAAGGCTTGGATAAATTCACTGATACTGTGACATGTTAGCGTCTGTGAGTCAGATATGTGTGCGCCTACCAAGAACTTGTGTATATATAACAACAAGCCTTGGTTCACAGCTAAGCAGCTATGTTGTGCCAAAGAGAAGGCTTAAGGAAAGGAGACAGGATTTTGTACAAGCAGGCCAGGAATGTATTAACAAGGGAGATCAGAGTAGCAAAGAGAAGCTACTCCAAAAAGCTGAGAAACCACTTCTTAGCTATTAAACCAGCAACTGTGTGGAAAAGCCTGAAGGCCATCATTGGCTACAGCAGATTTCCATCTCTTATTGAAGAAAACGGTCAACTGGCAGATGACCTGGAAATGTTCTGCTGTAGGTTTGAGAGGAAGTCAATGTAATCCATTGCTACCTTCCCCATCTCAGGTACACCAACAGGAGCCAAATCTCCTACACCTATCTCCATTCCTCTGGCCTCCCTCCACCTCTGGTGATCTCAGAAAAAGATGTGCAAGGATTTCATTGATGAAATCTCAGAAAAGCACCAGGTCCAGGCAGAGTAACCCCTTCTTGCTTGAAAGCCTGTGCTGAACAACTGGCCCCCATCTTCACAAGTCACTGGAGATGTATTATGTCCCTTCTTGTTTCAAATGCTCTATTATCATCTCTGTTTCTAAGAAACCCTCCATCAGTGAGCTAAATGTCTACAGATCGGTTGCTTTGACTGTTATGGTTCCGGCTAATGTAACACTTCAAAGAACTTCCAGGCATTTATTTTCCTAAAAGTCAGTGATTGTTACAAAATGTCAGCACATGCATAACGGAGGGATGCTAGGATCTAAGTTCTCCTCCTCTGAGCAGTTAAATTATCAGCATGTTCCCTCCCTAAATTAGCCGTCACATATCACATTATCCAATCAGCGTGAAGGTCAAAGGTTTTCTTCCTCTTTCTTTCCCGGGCTTTACCCCACCCCCATTCTGCTCTGTATTAACCCCATAATTACCAGACAATTCTGCATATTGTCAAAAGCAAGAATATACAATATTTGCAGCATTGACACTGATATTTGTAGTTATGAGGTCCTTTGAGAGGTTAGTACTGGCCCACCTGAAAACCATCGCAGATCTACTGTTAGACCCCCTATGGCTTGCCTACCAAGCAAATAGATCTTGCAACATCTTGAATCCCTGGGGACCTATACACAGGTCCTTTTTGTAGAGTTCAGCTCAGCATTTAATACCATCATTCCAGAAATTCTTCACTCCTCAACTGATTCAATTAGCTATGCCTGTCGGTACTTATAGGAGAATTATTAACTTTTTGACAGATAGGAAGCAACAAATGCAGTTTGGGAAAATTATTTCTAATACCTGGGCAATTAGCACAGGCACACCTCAGGGCTATGTGCTCTCTCCATTGCTCTTCTCTCCCTATACCAAAGACTGCATGTCCAGGGATCTTTCTGTTAAAGTACTGAAGTTTGCAGATGATATAACAGTTACTGGCCTCATTCGAGATGGGGATGAGCCTGCATATAGATGGGAGGTTGAATGACTAGCTCTGTGGTGCAGCTGGAACAATCTGGAGTTGAACATGCTTAAAACTGTAGAGATGAGAATGGATTTTTGGAGGAGCCCTTCCATTTTACCACCCCTTGCTATATTTGACAGCACAATATCAGCAGTAGAATCCTTCATTTTTTGGGTTCTATAATCTCCCAGGATTTGAAATGGAACCTAACATTAGAAATAGCATTAAAAAAGCACAATAAAAAATGTTCTTCCTGGGTCAACTTAGGAAATTTAGACTCCCCCTTGTGAGACTGTAAGACCATGATTTCTCATTTTATATTTAATATCACTATCTTAATTAGTGTAGTGCAGTGGGTAAGGTGCTGGACTAAGACAGAGAGAATCAGGTTCGAATATCTCCTTAGGTATGGAAATCAGCTTGGTGAGCTTGGATCAGACAATTTCTCTCAGACCTAGACGGGTAAGTTGAAAAACATCTACCTACCAGCCTACACTGGATCAGCATAGTAAATAATGGTATATAGCCTTCAACTTATCAATTTATTCACAAGTGGCATTTATAGGCCACCCAATTCAGAACAATCCAATGGAGAAATCTTCACCCAGTGGAGTGGATTGGTTCAAGCTGATGACAATTATATATTAATTATGGAAAATAGACGTAGCTGATTAGTATTCTCCAAATACTCATGCAAATTCTCTAATTTGTTAAATGTACACATTTTCAGAAACTGCACAAAGTAAATTTCTGGAAACGATTTACTTCTTTGGCAACTTGTTTCATTCACAACTACAGATACGATAGTGAACTGAACTGCACTCAAAACAATCAATTATCAGATTTACGTTGCGTGTGGTGGAGAATGAATTAAAGGTGAACATGATGCTGACTTCTCACCAGACTTCCTGCTTATGAGGGAACAAGGTGAGAGCCGAGGTGGTGCAGCAATTAGAGTGCAGTACTGCAGGTCACTTTAGCTGACTGTGTTCAGCAGGTCAACGGTTCAAATCTCACCGGCTCAAGGTTGACTCAGCCTTCCATCCTTCCGGGGTAGGTAAAATGAGGACCCAGATTAGGTCTTTGGTTGTTTGGGTTTTCTCCCGCGTAAAATTGGAAGTGTATTGGCGATGTTTCGACGAAGTCCCATTCGTCATCTTCAGGCTGGTGCCTTCAGCTTCGTGCTTGCTGCTCAAAGCACGAAGCTGAAGGCACCAGCCTGAAGATGACAAATGGGACTTCGTCGAAACATCGCCAAGACACTTCCAATTTTACGCGGGAGAAAACCCGAACAACCAAAGACCTACATACAAATACCCGCGAAAACCTCAGAAAATATATATATATATATTGAAGCAGTAGGTGTGAATTTAAATGGACTCCAGAAGATGGTAGAGGACAGGAAGACCTGGAGGAACATTGTCCATGGGGTCGCGACGGGTCGGACACGACTTCGCAATTAACAACAACAATATATATATATATATGTGTGTGTGTGTGTGTGTGTGTGTGTGTGTGTGTGTGTGTATGTATGTATGTTTTCTGAGGTTTCTCATTGCTTACTGGTGTACACCGCTTAGAGAGTGCTTGCACTTAAAGCGGTATATAAGTCTCATAAATAAATAAATAAATAAATAAATAAATAAATAAATAAATAAGGGGACAGAGAATAAGAAGACCATATCTATAGGCCTTAGACCTTTGGGCCATTTACCATCACCTGGGCAGATACGGTACGCCTAGACATGCCTTTCAGACATCGAGAGTCTTCTGAGAGAGGATGAGTGAATGCTGAATGCATGAGTGATTATAAACTGATTTTTTTTGGGGGGGGGGGGAGAAACAGGACAGAAAAGATTTCAGTTGACTGAGAAGGTGAAGGGAAAGCTTTATACAAGCTCAGACTGCTGCTATGCATTAGGGCTGGGTTTAGGATTCAGATTCTCTCTCTTCCATCTGATCTCAACTGAATTTTGACTGTACCTTTAAAATGATCTGTGCATCCTTTTATTGCCAGATGGATATAAACCCTTTCCATTATGACTGAATTTACTATCCTTTTCTGCTTTCTCGTGAGATTCCTACCTTTCTCCTCAGTCGCATAGCATTTGTGAGCTCTCCATTGTGGGCGACTGCAATCTTCCCATGCAATGTTTCCACCACAAACGGCTGACAGTTATCAAGGACAGATACTCCAGAGGTAGAGTATCTTGTATGGCCGATTCCAAGATTTGAAACATTGAGTTTCTTCAGACTATCTTCGCTGAACACGTGATTAACAAGACCCATTCCCTGCGAAGAAAAAGGAAATGGGATGGATGAACTAAAATAGAATATCCAATATTGCTTACAGCGGATAGCAGTGTAAAATTAATCCCTTTGAGCTAATTTAGAAGAAAAAGCTCTACTTAATTGGTATTTATTTTATTTACAAAACTTATATGGCTGCCTATCTCACACGATGAGTCTAGGTAACTCAAAACAATCCCCAAAAGCATGGTTAATCACAATGCTTGAGGAAAAAGGCAGGTCTTTGTAGCCCCATGGAAGAATAAAAGGGTAGGAATCCTTTGGATCTAAGGTGGGACAAAGTTCCAAAGAGCTCGACCCCAAGACCTATCAGGTGGCATCATTTAAGAGAAGACATCTGGAGCAGGCCCACCCTATCTAGCCTAGTAAGGAGGGAGACAGTCCGGCAAGTAACCTAGACAGTTGCCATTTGATGTTTTAAAGGTGATAACCGACACTTTGAATGGCACTGGGAAAGCAACTGGAAATCAATGTGGTCCACACAACATTGGATTACTCAAGTGAACCACAGGGCACCCAATGCATGCCACTGTATTCTGAACCAGCTGTAGCTTCCAGATGGTCTTCAAGGGTAGCCTTATGGAGCGTTAGTCACAAGAGAGGTGATTAAGATGCTTCTTAACTAAATCCATTAAATCAATTTACAATACACACCAATACTACTACATGTTATCATTTTCTAAATATTTTTTTCACATTCTTCTTGGGACAAAATTATGTTCCACCACTTTACAATGCTCTTTGTAGGATTTTGATGGTTACATTTATGAGAATTATAAATTACAAATTTGAGGAAAATCCTGCACAGATAACTGTCTTATTTACATCAAATATATACCCACTGAAATATTTTGAGTTCTCCCGGCATTCATTTTTAAAGAGAGAAAACGAATTAGAATAATAGCCACATCTTCTTCTAGAATGGGCACAGCTCTTTCTAGAGAAAATCTATTTGTGTGGCTGCTAAAGTTAATACCAATTTGATGGCTCATCAACATCATCTAAGTTATCTGCCCCACCAGGAATACTAGATAATATTGTTACCTTGTGCACTTTAAAAGAATGGGCTGATTCTCCATCACTTGTCACAATTCCTGCACTCTCTTGGCCTCTAAGAGAAAAAAAAGAGCAGGTAAAGAATCTGTATTTCTGAGACTGGATCTTTATGTAACCAAGAAGGTGCCATTTATAGCTGAGGGATTTTTACAGGCGCTGGGAGGACCCCAAAATTTGCAAAAATGTTGTCTAAATTGTAAGAAAATAACTCCCCCCCCTAGAATAAAAACAAAACCCACACATGGACAACTACAATAAATAAAATCAATTGTGGGAACGGGGTGATGGAAAGAAATATTCTATATAAACAGGCAGTTGACTGGAATTTTAAAGAAAAGTGATCAAACTGCAGTATTTAGTTGGGGAGCCCATTTTGTTCTGGCAAGTTCTAATGTTGGATATGTGATCTTGGTCCATATACACCCTCTGAACTTTTGTTTCTGCAGACCTCAGAGTTATTAGAAAAGGATAGGTTTTCATGAGAAGCCAATTAGGATTCTGAACTCTTAAGCATCAAAAAATATTCCAGAATCCCAAGATCTGAGCACCTAGAGTCATGAAACTGCCTTTTTATGGCATTTGTGGCCCCCAACTGCTAAAAAAAACACATATTGAGCCACAGACCTCAAGAAAGACTATTCTTAACCCTAGTGTTATCATATGTCAAATATCATGTTTTTCCATGAAAAATTCCCTGGAACTAATCTCTATCACAGTGATGGCGAACCTTTTAGAAACTGAGTGCCCAAACTGCAATCCAAAACCCACTTATGCATCATCGAGTGCCGGTGGGCGTGGTCCATTGGGTGGGGGTGGCCCATTGGGTGGGGTGGCTGCGATGGTAACAGCAGACTGGGTGGGACTAAAAAATTCAATTAATCAATTCCAACTTTGCAAGATCTTTTTTTTTCCCCCGCAAGAAGTTGAAATTGACTGATTGAACCTTTTTTTTTTTTTGCACATGGTGGCAGAGGCCTAAAGCAAAAAGATTTTATAAAACCCAGCTGAAGGCCTAGGACTGGGGCGACGGCATGCGTGCCCACAGAGAGGGCTCTGAGTGCCGCCTCTGGCACCCGTGCCATAGGTTCGCCACCACTGCTCTATCATATCAGAATTTAAGATTACTATTAACTTTTTTGTCCTTGGTTAAAAGAAACATGCACATGAAAACTAAACTTAAGTTTAAATAATCAGCAAAGAACTTTAATTTTTTGCTCTCAAAATTACTCTTGGCAGGCCTACCCTATGGGCTTGGAAAGTTGTGTTTTGTTTCATTCTAACATTGCCCAGTGCAAGAATGTATATGCACACATACAGATACTATAAAGGAAGAATAGGAGAAAATGAACCGACATTATTTAGTTACACAGAAGACAATATCCATTTCCAATGACTATGAACAGTAAAGGAGATGGAAAGAATTTGAAAAGGCATCCACTACATATTTCCCTATTTGTTTTTTTAATAGTAATTTTATTAAAATTTATAATTACAAAGATGAAAAGTATCACCAAATTTAAAAAAAATAGAGAAAAATAGAAGGTGGAGGAAAAAATAAGCATATAATAAAGAAAAAGAAAAGGAGTATGTAAGAATGGAGTTCTTTCTTCATCACAATACATACAATTTTAGTAACTTAGACTACAACAAATTATCTGTTTTTCCCACATCCCTTATCTATAAACAAATTCTTAAACTCTCCTTATCCTATCAGTCCTGATCAGCAAAAGTCAATTAAGGGTTACCAGAGATATCATATCTATCTTAACCCTGATCAAATGAACCAACTATATAGTCCTTCCTATTATTTTTAATTATCACGAGCTTTAGTCCCTTCAGATAATGTCCTAAAATTTGGTTCCTTTCCATTTTTCTTTGTCCTTTCTCACATAATTCTTCAAAGCTTCAACAAACCTCATTTGTAAATCCAATGTAGGAAAATTATCTAGGTTACGTGCTTGCTTTTTTTAATGTGTATATCCCTTTTAATTAGGATGTCATCAGACAGTTTATTTTTTACGTCTAGTGCAGGATCTTTCTCCATATCATTCTTGTAGCTTGTCATTTTAAAATCTACTTCCAGATCAACCTCAATATTATTAGGTAAAACATATTCCTCTTCCATAATATCCTTTAAACAGTGTATCTATAGAGGCAGACACTCTTAAAATTAACTTCTGGGTCCATTGTTGAAAAGTATCCTTCAATATATCCAATAAGTTAAAATATTTTACTTTATCTTGCATCTGTAAATTGGGTGTTCTTTAATTGTAATCTTTAGTTCCTTCTAGTTCCTTGTAGCACTCAACCTTCAAAGCCTTAAAAAAATATTAAAAACAAAAGTGTTTTCCCATGGGTAGGATTCTTATAATTAATTCCAAAACCTTATTTCAAATTCATCTGAACATGTAACTTCCCAAAATCAAAATTCTAATTACCTTTTCTACTGCTTATTACCCCACCCCATTTTTTAAAAAAATCCTTAAAATTGTATTTCAAGCTTCTTTTACTAAGGCTTGAAAGAAACTCAACCACAGTTTTTAGATTTGTTGCTCCAAAGATTACTAAAAGCTAGAAAGTTAACAAGCAATTTTTGAAAGTGATTTGAAAAGGAAATATGTGAACTCAGGTATATTTTGAAGGTGCTGACTATGGTTTGAGCAAAAAGATTACTCCCCCCCCCCTGCCAGAGCTCTAATTCTGCTGAAGATTGATGTATTGCAGTATTCTCGTGAGAAGCAACTGTCTGGAGTACTTCTGGGTAATCTCAAATCTTTTCCTTGTCCAGAGAGGAATTACAAAGAGGTGGTCATTCCATCATGGTTATTGTCTGTGCTTTTAGTGGAGTCAGTCTTCAGTTCACGAGTTATTCCTCAGAAGTTGCTTTCCCTGCTATATTAGAGGTTGCCACATACACAGGTGTGGCTTGCAATAGTGCAGTGGTTCTCAACCTGTGGGTCGGGACCCCATTTGGGGTCGAACAACCATTTCACGGGGGTCGCCAAACAACGCAGTGCGCCATTTTTTCCCCCTTTTCCTTAGCTGTGCTACTCTCTTTTATTCTATTGGCTTTTGAAAGCCAATAGAATAGACTCTCTTGAATAGAGTCTAATTCTATTGGCTTTCCAAAGCCAATAGGAATTGTTCAGGCTGTCTCTGCCCTGCTGAGCCCGCCAAAAGTCCCATTCTGCAAACGGTGCTGCACCAGTTGAGTAGTCCTCGACTTACGACCGGCTGAGTAGTCCTCGACTTACGACCGGTTGGGGGGTCGCGGGACTAAAAAGGTTGAGAACCACTGCAATAGTGCATAGGAGTGTTTGGAAGATAACTTACATAGCACCATTTCCCAAACTGATGCATTCCATATCATGTTGGACTACAATTCCCAGAATTCCATGAAGCATCACTATAGGTCCCACATCCGAAGAACCTCAGGTTCACAGGGATGCCAAGCTCAAAGCCTTCCATCAAAAATCCTTGATTAAAGAATTTTAAGTGGGGGAAGAGAAAGAAAAGCATTTCCTTTCTCCTCTCCTTCTTAGATTCCTCCTGTAAAATGAACCTGTTGGCTAGTTATTTAGTTGCCATGGCAACATCTCCCAAGTATTATAGGATACCAAGGGACCTTTGTTGGCAGATATATTACTCAGAGGGGTCTCAATTAGCACCTGAGATAGTTGCACTATATTACTTCTGAGAATGCTTTGAAATGGAAACACAGTTATGCAGAACCCAAATTGATGGGGGGAAGGGGGGGGGACACTTAAAAAGAAACATTTATATAGAAGAAATATATCTACACAATATATATGCTTCTTTCCAAAATATCTTCTATATCCAAATAAATACTTTAAGGAAATATGTTATTTGAATATAGAAAACAGAAAATGCAGGTTTAATTGAATAATTTGCAAATGCAACTGAAATTAGTATTGCTGTATCTGATTTTCTATTTAAGATGAATCTTGCATTAGTAAAGGACATCATGTATTTGCTCTTGACAACACAAAAAGAATATAGACGTGCTCTCCACACAAATTTGATCTTAATTTGGCTTTTAGCATATTATACTTGATTCACTCAGAAGACTACTGAAGTGGAACTATTACTGAACATCACTGAATGCTCAGAATTCAAATTAAAGTGACTCCATTTGTCACTGTCAATTCAAGCATTTAGGAAAAGGCTTACGTGTTTGTGTGAAATTATGATTTACAGTTTTGAAAGGGATTCTAAACCATGTGCGGAAGGAAAAGTCTTCATCCTGGTTCATCCAAACCGGGGATAAATAAACAACATGGCAACAGCTTTAGAAAGAAGGTTGCATTTTATCGAAGAGCCAGACACAAAACAGCCAAGGTTCCCTACCCATGAGTTAGTCCTATTATGTCCCAATGGTTATATCCTGCTTGCCTGGTGTTGGAGCTAATGACTCTTGAGTTTGGATGGGGTATGCAGATTTTAGGTGTCTTTGTCTTCTTGACATCCTAGTTGGGGCCTTTCTGATGGTTTACATCTGCATTTGTACAGAGCTGGCTTCTGTTTGCGGGAGGAAGATCTGGGGCTATTAAGAAAAACTGGGCATGCTTTTCTGTCTCTTTAAGATCCTTGGAGGAAATATATTTTTCTGCCCTTTTAATATTTCCTTCTCTGGGAGGGCTGACTTCCCACAATGTGAGCAAATATTTTGCAAAATTGAAGGCATTAGTTGCTAGCAAATCCGAAGAGAATCAGGGTGCAAATGTTTTCATTCCAAACAAAATTATAGCCTATAACTTTGTGTGGATGGATATATGCTGACATATACTTGGACAACACCTCCCATCATCCTCAACCCCCAGCTAGTTTTGTGATCCAATGCCTCTGGAGGGGGCCAGATGGAGGAAAGCTTACTTAGAGCTCTCGTGTACATTAAGAGCAGAGATTATATTTAAAGCCCATTGCATAACAAAGGTTACAGAATGCATTCCATCTCTGGAACTGTGCTTAATTTTTGCAAAGCGGAAAACAGCTTATTTGGGGTGCCAATGATTAACAGACTTTGCAATCATTTCT